AAGAATGAAACCGAAGCACTCCGAATCATTGAATCCATTGCTTCGAATCCTCAACTCCAAGGAGGAGATTACAAAGTGGTCGGGATTAATGAAATCTCCATCACGACGGAGATAAACAAAAGGCTTGAAGAAATGGAATCAAAGATTGAACACAAGTTCCAAACGGCTCTACAAGCCGTATTGGGAGGAGTCAAGCAAATAGCCAACGTAGAGAGCATACCAAGCCCGGAAAGTGATTTATCCCAACATCTTGAAGAGGTAAATTATGTGAACTTTTACGGGAATCGGGGGAACAATAACTATTCAAATCAACAAAGGTGGAAGCCACAAGCTAGTTCCTCACAACCCCAATCCGGAGCACCTAATTTTGGGCAAACCAAGGAGACCACCATGGAGGATATGATGCAATTCATGTCCAAAAGCATGGCAAGCATGAAGGCCCAAAATGAGGAGAATCACCATAGAGTGGAGGCATCCATTGGGAATCTTCACTCTCAATTCACCAAGTTGGATCTTCGCTTTGAAGATCAAAATATAAAGCTTAATCAACGCATCGACACCATTGAGCAATACACCAAGGCATCCATTCGGAATCTTGAAGTTCAAATGGGACAACTTGCCCAAAAAGTAAGTTCTAGGGAGCAAGGCAAATTTCCTACAACCACGGAGATGAACCCGAGGGAAAACGTAATGGCCATTACCACAAGGAGTGGTAAGACAACGGAGGATCCAAAGATGCCGGAAGAGGAAGAGATCCCGGAAAAACAAAAAGAAGGTGAAAGTGAGGAGCATATGATGCCACCATCGAACATGGCTAATTATATTCCTCCCATTCCATATCCTCAAAGGTTAAAGAAAAAGAATGATGGTGCTCAATATAGAAAATTTCTTGATATTTTTACTAAATTGAGCATCAACATTCCTTTTGCCGAAGCTATAGCGGAAATTCCATCTTATGCCAAATTCTTGAAGGATATTCTCTCAAATAAGAAAAAATTGGCGAAATTTGCTACCATTGCCCTCACGAAGGAGTGTAGTGCTATCCTACAAAACAAACTCCCTCCTAAATTGAAGGACCCCGGAAGCTTCACGGTACTGTGTTCTATCGGCAAAATTGGAGAGGTAAGATCCCTTTGTGATCTTGGTGCTAGTATCAACCTCATGCCCCATTCTTTATTTAAAAAGCTTGGTGTGGGGGGACTGCAATCTACTACAATAGCTTTACAACTAGCGGATAGATCAATCCGCTACCCTATTGGAGTTATGGAGGATGTGCTTGTCAAAGTTGGGAAATTCTATTTTCCTGTGGATTTTCTTATTTTAGAAATGGAGGAAATGGAGATCCGATTATTCTTGGAAGAGCATTTCTAGCCACTGCAGCAACCCTCATTGATGTCAAAAACGGAATTGTCAAATTCCGTGTTGGAGATGAAGAACAAGAGTTTCATGTTTGGGACTCCCTGAAAAAGCACCATGATGAACCCTCTTGTTTTAGCATTGACATTCTTGACACATTAACTCAAGAATGCTTTGGAAAGATGATTCATGAAGATCCCTTGGAGACTTGCATCATGCTAGGGTGCAATGAAAAAGAAGAAAGCCATGAACTTCTTGAAGAAGTTATGTACTTGCAAGCCGGAGCTCCTTTCAAACATTTCCGACAAAAATTTGAAGATCTTGGAACAAGTAAGTCCACATTAAAACCATCTATTGAAGTTCCACCAAAACCATCTTTGAAAACTCTACCGGAGCATCTCAAATATGCATTTCTTGGAGATAACTCAACTTTCCCGGTAGTAATTTCTTCTTCACTCACATCTCTGCAAGAAGAAAAATTACTACGGGTATTGAGAGAGCACAAAACATCCATTGCATGGTCCTTGGCGGATATCAAGGGTATTAGCCCTTCTCTTTGCATGCACCGGATTTTTATGGAGGAAAATCATAAACCTACGGTAGAACACCAAAGGCGGCTAAACCCCAACATGAAAGAGGTAGTTAAGGAGGAAGTTCTCAAACTCCTTGACTATGGCATAATTTACCCCATTTCGGATAGTAAATTTGTAAGCCCCGTTCAAGTCGTACCAAAGAAGGGTGGAATCACGGTGGTGGCCAATAGTAAGAATGAATTAATTCCTACTAGAATGGTCACCGGTTGGAGGATGTGCATAGACTACCGGAAATTAAACTCCGGCACAAGGAAGGAACACTTTCCCCTTCCGTTCATGGATGAGATGTTGGAGCGTGTTGCGGGCAATGAATTCTTTTGTTTCTTGGATGGGTTCTCCGGCTATTTTCAAATAGCTATCTCTCCCGAGGATCAAGAAAAGACAACATTCACATGTCCTTTTGGCACATTTGCCTATAGAAGGATGCCGTTCGGATTATGCAACGCCCCCGGAACATTTCAAAGATGTGTCATGGCAATTTTTGCGGATATGGTGGGGGACTTCATGGAGGTATTCATGGATGATTTTTCTGTTTTTGGAAATTCTTTTGAGTCATGTTTACTTTCCCTTGAGAAAGTATTAACTCGGTGTGAAGAAACCGACTTGACTCTCAATTGGGAGAAATGTCATTTCATGGTAACCGAAGGGATTGTCTTGGGGCACAAAATTTCCCCCAATGACATTGAAGTAGACCAAGCAAAAATTGAAGTCATAAAGAAGCTACCTTCTCCACACTCGGTGAAAGCTATCCGGAGTTTTCTAGGGCATGCCGGTTTTTACCGGCGATTCATCAAAGATTTCTCTAAAATCGCCAAACCTCTATGCGATTTATTAGCCAAAGATGTCCCATTTGAAATCACCCCAACTCGGCTCAAAGCTTTCAACACTCTAAAGGAAGCTCTCACAACGGCCCCTATTATCACATCACCGGATTGGTCTCTTCCATTCGAATTGATGTGTGATGCAAGCGATCATGCTATTGGTGTAGTACTTGGGCAAAGAAAAGAAAAGAAACTTCATGCCATATACTATGCATCGAGGTTGCTCCATGACGCAGAGCTCAATTATGCCACCACCGAGAAGGAATTCTTAGCCGTCATCTATGCTTTTGACAAATTCCGATAATACCTAATCGGCCAAAAAGTGATTGTTTATACCGATCACTCCGCCATCAAATATGTCATGAACAAGAAGGACGCCAAACCAAGGTTAATTCGTTGGGTTTTACTACTCCAAGAATTTGACCTTGAAATCCGAGACAAAAAAGGGAGTGAAAATCATGTGGCGGATCATCTTTCACGACTTGAAGGCACCCCAAATGACAAGAAGGAGGAGGAGATACGAGACGATTTCCCATATGAACAAATCATGGCTTATGTGAAGTATGTGGAGTAAGTAAGATCCTTCGTATGTGTTTATCTGTTTGAATTTAGTAGAGAACTTGTATAATGTAGAAGCCTTATGAATGCCTTAGTACTTAGTACTCGATTTCTGTATTAAGAATCATGCCGCCGAGGAGAGACCCACATTCAACCCCAACTGTCGCGGAGCAGGCCCAAACTGTCCAGCAAATGGCGCAGCTCATAGGAGCAGCCCAACCCCAGAACCCTGGGATTGACTACGCAACAAGGGTTGCCGGGCGAAACCCTCCAAAATACTTGGGTGAGGAAGACCACCTTATCTTGGAGGACTGGATCCGCACTTTCGACAAGCTCTTTGATTCACTGAATTGCCCGTCGGAGCAACGGGTGAATATTGCGGTGTACTATCTGCACCAAGAAGCGGACCACTGGTGGGCCGCCAACGGACTAGCACTTCTCGGGCAACCGGGCTTCGATTGGGAGGACTTCATAGTAGCGTTGCGGGATCGCTTCTACCCAGATCACGTGAAGGAAGCAAATTATGAAGAATTTGTCAACTTTAAACAAGGTGACCTGACTGTTCATGAGTACCACACGAAATTCGTTCAACTGGCACGTTTTGCCAAGGACCTGGTGTCGACAGAGGCCAGTATGACCCGCAGGTTTGTTAACGGGCTTAACTTCGGGGCCCAAAAGTTCGTGACGGTAGCAGAGCCGCAGAATTTGAATGAGGCTTATAGAAAGGCTGGTAAGTACTACCTGGTACACCAGAAGGAAAGGGAGGCACACAAAAGAGACCGAAAGAATGCGGAAGTGGAGCAGCAACAGAAGAAGGCCAAGATTGATCGCCCTGAGCAGCGCCAGAACAACCAAGGCGGAGGAAGATTCCAAGGTCAAAATCAAAGGAGGGATCGTGAGAGGCACTATTACTGCAAGCGTTGTAATAGAGATCACCCAGGCGTAAATTGTGACGGAAGTCAAACCAAATGTTTCAATTGCGACAAGCTAGGACACCGAGCTTTTGAATGCAATTCCAAAAAGGCGGACATACCGGCAAACCCGAATCAGAGGAGTGATAGAAACAATGACAACAACCCCAATAGAGGTCGAATCTACGTGATGAATCAAACTCAGGCAAACGCTCACAATCTCGACTCAGGTAATATTCTTGTTACGAGGACGTAACCTCTCGTTAAGGTGGGTAAAATGTAATACTTTAGAATTTTGAAATTTAACTTTAGTTTATGTTTCGGGACGAAACATCTTTTAAGGAGGGTAGAATGTGACACTTCAAAAATTTAAATAAAAATAAAAATAATTTTAATTAGTCAGATAAAATATTAAGAAAATAACATTTTTATAATTAATTAAGTCAGACAAAAATTCAATAGTTGTGACATTCTAACCAGATAAAAATTTCCAAGCTTACGACGTTTTAGTCAGATAAAAATGTTCCGATAATAGAAGTAACATTTTATAACAAGTACTGGTGATACATATAACATAAGTAATAAAAATTATTTTTGTAATAATAATAATAAATTACAGAAAATAAAACTTGACTTTCCTAATCCTAATACACTATTAAAAATAATACGAGTAAAAGATAAATGCACCAGTGCATTACACCCTTAAATAATATTCTTAGTTTACGTAATATTAACAATAATACCAAAAATGGCTTACAAACTAAAGATTGGCGTGAAACTAAAGTTACGTAAGCAGCAGTAGTACTAAAATTCGAATGAAGCAAGAATTTTTGACCCAAAAGGAGACCAGCACACTCTAGCCACCACACCTACAAACTTGGCTTTAATCCCACACAGATGCAGAGTCCAAATGAAAATAAAACCCCAGCTTCAGCCTACTTCATACTTAGATACGAACAAAGAGGAGATAAGACCGTATATTCAAACGAAACAAATCGACTTTAAGACCAACTCAATCACAGCCCGGAACCCTCATCTTTCCCTATAAATAGCAAGCCAAACCTGCGATTTTATTCATCAACACCTACGGCATATATACATATATACGTATATATATATATATATATATATACTTTTATTCGACCCTTCGTTTTAGCCCAAACCAAGCCCTGAAAATACTTCTCAAACCTTCCCCCTTCGTGAGACGAATCCAACGGAGAAAGAATCGTTGGAAACGGTCGTGAAACGAGGGAGAAAAGCTTCGCCGGAGTTTCGTCGGGCAAACTTTCACGACGGGAAACGGAGAAGAGGGAGGAACTGCCGCTGCCGCCAACCCATCACCGACCTTCGCCGTCCCATAAGGAGTGCACCGCCACCGTCATTGGCCGCGTCCGTCGAGGTAGGTCACACCTGCGTTTTCACCATTTTTTTTCCGGCGTTTTGGCGAGGAAGACGACCCAGCCTATAGGCTGGGGTCTGTCTTCTTGAGCTGTTGTTTTAATATGGGCCAGAAAAATTTAAAAAAATTTAGGCCAGTCCGGCCCAGTTGCAATAAATATTAAAAATAAAATAGTAAATGAAATAAATAAAATCTGGAAAAATATAAATTAAATACCTAGTATAAATATACATATTCGGACCAACCAGAATTGAAAAATAGTATTTTTAGTTATTTTTAATTGATTTAATTGTAATTGGGCCAATCTGTACACATTTAGTAAATAATTAACTAATTGACGAAAATAATTATGAAATAAATGTTGGAGTAAACTAGGATAAATATATGACTAACTAGGACCTTATGGACCATTTATAATTAATAAATATTAAGATTTAGTATATTTAATTGTAATTGAACCGGTTAATAGATATATGAAATTAAATGAATAATTATGGAAAATTAATTATAAAATAGATATCTGGACAACCTAGGTCAAATATAGATCCAAAATATAGTTATAGACGGTTATTAATTTATAAAGTCGATTCTTAATCTATTTAATTTAATTGGGCCATATAAAACTAGTTAAGTAATTAAATAAGGAAATATTAATATTAATGGTAAAATAAATAAATCACTGAGTTTGAAAATAATATTCTGGACTAAAAATGATGTTGGAATAAAATAAGGAAAATTAAATAAGGTTGGGTTAGCTAGCATAAATAAATGATTATATATAGACTTAATAAATAACTTAATTATGTAATTAGTGGACTAATTCAATTAATAATTTTTATGATTTATTATTAGAGATTCGGACTTCATATAAATATTTAAAATATTTGAAATCATAAATTAATGGGTTAAGTAAAGTAATAAAATAATATTTTATGAGTAAAGTAAATTAATGGTGATGATTAAATAAAAAAATAGATGTTGTAGTTAATTATAGTCGGATATTTTATTTAGGTTTAGAATTCAAATATTGTAATTAATGACGAAATTAATAAGGTATTTGATTAATAAAAAGTGATTAACTCGAATAATTAATTAATTAAATTAATAAATTCGAATAAAAGAATAAAAAGGAGAAAATCGACTAAAATTATTGAATTAATGACTAATTATATCATCTTAATTAAAAAGGTGATTATCTAGAGACCGGATTAGAGGAAGATAACTAGGAGCATCAGGACTTAAGGTAAGTTTCTCTGCCAATCCAAAATTTGTTTCCTCGTATTATATGCTTATTATGCATTATGTGATTAAGTGTGAATTTTAAATGTGTACTGTTTTGGGCGACTAAGAATTTGTGAAATATTGGAGATATATTTTGGGATTTAATCCCTAGTATGACTTTGGAGTGAATTTTCATGTAATACAATTTTTGAATATTTATGAATGTGAATTTTTGGTGGACGTATCCATTAAATGGATATTTTGGAAGACTATGTATAGAGAAATAATTTTCCAAGAATGAATAATGTTTTTATAATGATTATTGACATCTCGAGAGAAACACGAGGTGTGGGTGGTTAGAGCTATATACCGCGGGTTTAGTTTAGGTTCATGATGATTATTGGTGGCGGGAGAAATCCCGGTAAATATTGGTGGCGGGAGATTCCCGGTATTTCTTTTGAGAACTTTAAAAGTTCTTTGGTGGCCGCGGTAGTAGTTTCTAATTACCCGGGTTTCTAACCCATTGTGAGGTAGGGGGACGTTGTCCGAACTACTTGGACTTCTTACTACTCGGAAGGCTTAGAATCCCTTTTAGGGGGTGTGCACACTTAAGGGTGAAGTTCAGTTTCCAATTGGTGGTCGGTGGGAGCCGGAATTCCGGGATGAGTCGTACACAACAACGATTCATTGGGCTCGAGGAATCTTGAGTTTCGCCCATCTTAAAAGAATCTGAAAGTGACATTGATTTCGGAATGGTGATATTTTTAGCTTCAAAAGTTATTTTTGAAAAGTGATACTTCTTTTGAGATATTAATTAATTGTTGGGAGCTTATAAATATTGTTTTTAATTATAAGGGTATTTGAGATTGTTGATAAATAATGTTTTGAAAAGAATTTCGGTGGTGTGAGTATTTTTATATATAGTATTATATGAAAAACTATTTTTGTCAAACTTGATTATTTTACGGGGTTGGGTAGTACTTACTTAGCTCTAAAGCTAATTTTTGTTATTTTTCTTGTCTCTCTCTTCTCCCTTAAATTTTATTAGATGATGAGTTGGATACCTATGTGGATTGATGGATTGCTCGAGCTTGAGTGCGAATTAGAAGATGCCTTAGTTAAATCTAGTCATGAAACAAACATTTACTTATTATTACATTAGTTTTTGTTGTTTTACTTTGAGTTGCCTGTGCATTCGGTTAAGAGATGACCGAATGTGGCGGTAACACCCATTCCCCTTTTAGACTTCCGCTGTATTTCTTCAATTCTTTGATGAATGAATAAAGTATTTCTTTTAAATATATCAATGTTTTGGGCGGGAAATTTAGGGGTGTTACAAATTGGTATCAGAGCCTTAGGTTTTCCGAAGGGACTAGAACACGAGGTAATAGGTCGTAGGGAGAAATTCTGTCACAAAGACGATAACAGTCTAAGCTAGTTGGTGCATAATTGAGCCCTGCGCTCGTCCAACTAACTGAGAATTTCTCCTTGTGCTGAAACTTCGTCGTTCGAAATCTTTGACGAAAACTATAGTTTTGATGCGGGGATTTTCAAAAGGTTTTTGTAAAATTAGGAGAATGAATATACTAGGAAAAAGACCTTTTAGGACGCGGTGAGAAGGAGAAACCTTTGCGAAATTATTGAGTTATGAAATGCATGAAATTCGTGCTTATGTGAAGTATGTGGAGTAAGTAAGATCCTTCGTATGTGTTTATCTGTTTGAATTTAGTAGAGAACTTGTATAATGTAGAAGCCTTATGAATGCCTTAGTACTTAGTACTCGATTTCTGTATTAAGAATCATGCCGCCGAGGAGAGACCCACATTCAACCCCAACTGTCGCGGAGCAGGCCCAAACTGTCCAGCAAATGGCGCAGCTCATAGGAGCAGCCCAACCCCAGAACCCTGGGATTGACTACGCAACAAGGGTTGCCGGGCGAAACCCTCCAAAATACTTGGGTGAGGAAGACCACCTTATCTTGGAGGACTGGATCCGCACTTTCGACAAGCTCTTTGATTCACTGAATTGCCCGTCGGAGCAACGGGTGAATATTGCGGTGTACTATCTGCACCAAGAAGCGGACCACTGGTGGGCCGCCAACGGACTAGCACTTCTCGGGCAACCGGGCTTCGATTGGGAGGACTTCATAGTAGCGTTGCGGGATCGCTTCTACCCAGATCACGTGAAGGAAGCAAATTATGAAGAATTTGTCAACTTTAAACAAGGTGACCTGACTGTTCATGAGTACCACACGAAATTCGTTCAACTGGCACGTTTTGCCAAGGACCTGGTGTCGACAGAGGCCAGTATGACCCGCAGGTTTGTTAACGGGCTTAACTTCGGGGCCCAAAAGTTCGTGACGGTAGCAGAGCCGCAGAATTTGAATGAGGCTTATAGAAAGGCTGGTAAGTACTACCTGGTACACCAGAAGGAAAGGGAGGCACACAAAAGAGACCGAAAGAATGCGGAAGTGGAGCAGCAACAGAAGAAGGCCAAGATTGATCGCCCTGAGCAGCGCCAGAACAACCAAGGCGGAGGAAGATTCCAAGGTCAAAATCAAAGGAGGGATCGTGAGAGGCACTATTACTGCAAGCGTTGTAATAGAGATCACCCAGGCGTAAATTGTGACGGAAGTCAAACCAAATGTTTCAATTGCGACAAGCTAGGACACCGAGCTTTTGAATGCAATTCCAAAAAGGCGGACATACCGGCAAACCCGAATCAGAGGAGTGATAGAAACAATGACAACAACCCCAATAGAGGTCGAATCTACGTGATGAATCAAACTCAGGCAAACGCTCACAATCTCGACTCAGGTAATATTCTTGTTACGAGGACGTAACCTCTCGTTAAGGTGGGTAAAATGTAATACTTTAGAATTTTGAAATTTAACTTTAGTTTATGTTTCGGGACGAAACATCTTTTAAGGAGGGTAGAATGTGACACTTCAAAAATTTAAATAAAAATAAAAATAATTTTAATTAGTCAGATAAAATATTAAGAAAATAACATTTTTATAATTAATTAAGTCAGACAAAAATTCAATAGTTGTGACATTCTAACCAGATAAAAATTTCCAAGCTTACGACGTTTTAGTCAGATAAAAATGTTCCGATAATAGAAGTAACATTTTATAACAAGTACTGGTGATACATATAACATAAGTAATAAAAATTATTTTTGTAATAATAATAATAAATTACAGAAAATAAAACTTGACTTCCCTAATCCTAATACACTATTAAAAATAATACGAGTAAAAGATAAATGCACCAGTGCATTACACCCTTAAATAATATTCTTAGTTTACGTAATATTAACAATAATACCAAAAATGGCTTACAAACTAAAGATTGGCGTGAAACTAAAGTTACGTAAGCAGCAGTAGTACTAAAATTCGAATGAAGCAAGAATTTTTGACCCAAAAGGAGACCAGCACACTCTAGCCACCACACCTACAAACTTGGCTTTAATCCCACACAGATGCAGAGTCCAAATGAAAATAAAACCCCAGCTTCAGCCTACTTCATACTTAGATACGAACAAAGAGGAGATAAGACCGTATATTCAAACGAAACAAATCGACTTTAAGACCAACTCAATCACAGCCCGGAACCCTCATCTTTCCCTATAAATAGCAAGCCAAACCTGCGATTTTATTCATCAACACCTACGGCATATATACATATATACGTATATATATATATACTTTTTTTCGACCCTTCGTTTTAGCCCAAACCAAGCCCTGAAAATACTTCTCAAACCTTCCCCCTTCGTGAGACGAATCCAACGGAGAAAGAATCGTTGGAAACGGTCGTGAAACGAGGGAGAAAAGCTTTGCCGGAGTTTCGCCGGGCAAACTTTCACGACGGGAAACGGAGAAGAGGGAGGAACTGCCGCTGCCGCCAACCCATCACCGACCTTCGCCGTCCCATAAGGAGTGCACCGCCACCGTCATTGGCCGCGTCCGTCGAGGTAGGTCACACCTGCGTTTTCACCATTTTTTTTCCGGCATTTTGGCGAGGAAGACGACCCAGCCTATAGGCTGGGGTCTGTCTTCTTGAGCTGTTGTTTTAATATGGGCCAGAAAAATTTAAAAAAATTTGGGCCAGTCCGGCCCAGTTGCAATAAATATTAAAAATAAAATAGTAAATGAAATAAATAAAATCTGGAAAAAAATAAATTAAATACCTAGTATAAATATACATATTCGGACCAACCAGAATTGAACAATAGTATTTTTAGTTATTTTTAATTGATTTAATTGTAATTGGGCCAATCTGTACACATTTAGTAAATAATTAACTAATTGACGAAAATAATTATGAAATAAATGTTGGAGTAAACTAGGATAAATATATGACTAACTAGGACCTTATTGACCATTTATAATTAATAAATATTAAGATTTAGTATATTTAATTGTAATTGAACCGGTTAATAGATATATGAAATTAAATGAATAATTATGGAAAATTAATTATAAAATAGATATCTGGACAACCTAGGTCAAATATAGACCCAAAATATAGTTATAGACGGTTATTAATTTATAAACTCGACTCTTAATCTATTTAATTTAATTGGGCCATATAAAACTAGTTAAGTAATTAAATAAGGAAATATTAATATTAATGGTAAAATAAATAAATCACTGAGTTTGAAAATAATATTCTGGACTAAAAATGATGTTGGAATAAAATAAGGAAAATTAAATAAGGTTGGGTTAGCTAGCATAAATAATTGATTATATATAGACTTAATAAATAACTTAATTATGTAATTAGTGGACTAATTCAATTAATAATTTTTATGATTTATTATTAGAGATTCGGACTTCATATAAATATTTAAAATATTTGAACTCATAAATTAATGGGTTAAGTAAAGTAATAAAATAATATTTTATGAGTAAAGTAAATTAATGGTGATTATTAAATAAAAAAATAGATGTTGTAGTTAATTATAGTCGGATATTTTATTTAGGTTTAGAATTCAAATATTGTAATTAATGACGAAATTAATAAGGTATTTGATTAATAAAAAGTGATTAACTCGAATAATTAATTAATTAAATTAATAAATTCGAATAAAAGAATAAAAAGGAGAAAATCGGCTAAAATTATTGAATTAATGACTAATTATATCATCTTAATTAAAAAGGTGATTATCTAGAGACCGGATTAGAGGAAGATAACTAGGAGCATCAGGACTTAAGGTAAGTTTCTCTGCCAATCCAAAATTTGTTTCCTCGTATTATATGCTTATTATGCATTATGTGATTAAGTGTGAATTTTAAATGTGTACTGTTTTGGGCGACTAAGAATTTGTGAAATATTAGAGATATATTTTGGGATTTAATCCCTAGTATGACTTTGGAGTGAATTTTCATGTAATACAATTTTTGAATATTTATGAATGTGAATTTTTGGTGGACGTATCCATTAAATGGATATTTTGGAAGACTATGTATAGAGAAATAATTTTCCAAGAATGAATAATGTTTTTATAATGATTATTGACATCTCGAGAGAAACACGAGGTGTGGGTGGTTAGAGCTATATACCGCGGGTTTAGTTTAGGTTCATGATGATTATTGGTGGCGGGAGAAATCCCGGTAAATATTGGTGGCGGGAGATTCCCGGTATTTCTTTTGAGAACTTTAAAAGTTCTTTGGTGGCCGCGGTAGTAGTTTCTAATTACCCGGGTTTCTAACCCATTGTGAGGTAGGGGGACGTTGTCCGAACTACTTGGACTTCTTACTACTCGGAGGGCTTGGAATCCCTTTTAGGGGGTGTGCACACTTAAGGGTGAAGTTCAGTTTCCAATTGGTGGTCGGTGGGAGCCGGAATTCCGGGATGAGTCGTACACAACAACGATTCATTGGGCTCGAGGAATCTTGAGTTTCGCCCATCTTAAAAGAATCTGAAAGTGACATTGATTTCGGAATGGTGATATTTTTAGCTTCAAAAGTTATTTTTGAAAAGTGATACTTCTTTTGAGATATTAATTAATTGTTGGGAGCTTATAAATATTATTTTTAATTATAAGGGTATTTGAGATTGTTGATAAATAATGTTTTGAAAAGAATTTCGGTGGTGTGAGTATTTTTATATATAGTATTATATGAAAAACTATTTTTGTCAAACTTGATTATTTTACGGGGTTGGGTAGTACTTACTTACTTAGCTCTAAAGCTAATTTTTGTTATTTTTCTTGTCTCTCTCTTCTCCCTTAAATTTTATTAGGTGATGAGTTGGATACCTATGTGGATTGATGGATTGCTCGAGCTTGAGTGCGAATTAGAAGATGCCTTAGTTAAATCTAGTCATGAAACAAACATTTACTTATTATTACATTAGTTTTTGTTGTTTTACTTTGAGTTGCCTGTGCATTCGGTTAAGAGATGACCGAATGTGGCGGTAACACCCATTCCCCTTTTAGACTTCCGCTGTATTTCTTCAATTCTTTGATGAATGAATAAAGTATTTCTTTTAAATATATCAATGTTTTGGGCGGGAAATTTAGGGGTGTTACACTCTACCCGACAACACAAGCAAAAGTGTGGGGGAATTCGTGAAGAAAAACATTTTTTCACGTTTCGGTGTGCCCCGTACCATCATAAGTGACAATGGCACACATTTCAAGAATGCCCACTTTTCTGGCTTGCTAAAGAAATATGGGTGCAATTTCCGAACCGGGGCAGCCTATCATCCACAAACCAATGGGCAAGTTGAAGTATCCAACCGAGAGATTAAATCAATTCTAGAGAAAACAGTCACCACCTCTAGAAAAGATTGGGCATTAAAATTAGATGATGCGCTATGGGCATACCGGACGGCTTACAAAACACCGTTGGGTATGTCGCCATACCGGCTTGTTTATGGGAAGTCATGCCATCTTCCCGTAGAACTTGAACACAAAGCACAGTGGGCACTCTCCAAGCTAAATCTTGAGCCTGCATTCTCAAGGGAGAGGAGGATGTTCCAAATGGCAGAACTTGAAGAACTCCGAAGGGATGCATATGAGAATTCCCGTATCTACAAGGAAAGGGCAAAAGCTTGGCATGACAAAAACATCAACCGAAGGGATTTCTACGTCGGCCAAAAGGTACTACTCTTCAACTCTAGACTTCGCCTTTTTCCCGGAAAGCTAAAAACCCGATGGTCGGGACCATTCACAATCACTGAGGTCCGACCATACGGCTCAATGATGATTCAAAATGGTGATCAAACACCATTTCTTGTAAATGGTCACCGACTTAAGCCATACATGGAGTACCATAACACCTTGGCAACCACCACTTGCCAATTGAAGGACTAAAAAGGTACGTTGCGTCCGGCCTATGACGTTAAACTGAGCGCTAATTGGGAGGCAACCCAACAACAAAAAAATCAATTATAAATAAGGATGTTTGGTCATGCATATTCATTTTTATCTATAAATTGAATAAAAATCAATTATAAATAAATCTGTTTATAAACATTCACATTTATTTATAATTGAAACAAAAAAAAATATAAAATTTTCAAGGACCGGCGCCGGTCGGCCACATAACCGGCGCCGTACGATTCCAGAGACTTTAGGGTGTTGGCGTTCACGCGTAACCGGCGCCGGACACCCTACAACCGGCGCCGGTCGGGCCGGTTAAAATCATAATCAGGTCGCATCTCAGACCTCATTTTCGAACCCTTCCCCCAAACTTTGAGAACCCTTCGCCGGAAAACACCCCCAAACGCCCAAATCCGCCCGCCAAAGCCAAAAATCACTCTTAGGAGCTCGGATTCAACATCAAACATCACTTCTCAATCTTCTTCGCCCCTATTTGAACATCAATTCAAGGTATTTTAGCTTTAATCCCAATTTTCTCTAATTTTTGAAATCTTTTATTTCTTTAAATTTTTGGCAAAATAGATGATTATCATTGATGAAAATTGTTTTCATATGCTCATTTGATGTATATAACCTTGTTTGTTGCCAAAAATTTTGAGATTAAAGTTCAACATTAGGGGAAGTTCTTGAAAAAAAAAATCTAAAAACCCTAATTTCGAATTTCTTGTTCATTGATGAATTGCTCTATATAATTGATGTTTAGAAGCATATTGATATGATTTATTGTTGATATATAGTCTTCTAAACATAATTATTGAAAGAAATTTGTGTATGAACATGAGATTTGGAGAAATTGATAAACCTAAATTACCTTGAGTGGATGAATATATGTTGTGTTGCATATGTGTTGAACTAATTTTGCAGGTCCATGGCACCCAAACGAGGAAAAGGTGCTAGCTCTTCTTCTTCTTCTTCCGTGCCCCGTTTCACCTCCCCGGAGAATGAAGCGTGGTACGAGACGAGGAAGAAATGGAAAATTGTCATTGAGAAAACTGTGGATCCGCAACTCAATGAACTCTACCGGATCTCCGAGGCGTTTGACGTTCTAGGGTGGGCTATCATGCTCACTCTAACTGGAGCATACTACCCGCGGCTTGTGCGGGAATTCTACGCCAACATTGAAAGGAAGAATGACCCCTACGGTGACATTGAAAGCACCGTCAAAGGTACAAAAATCACGGTGAGCGAACGCCGGCTTTGCAACCTACTCAACATCGTTGACGTAGGTACTCCCTTTTCCATGAACTCTCAAGTGGTGCTAAGCGACCTTGACTATGACGAAATAAGGGCAATGTAACTGTTCGGCGTCAATGAAGATCTTAGGGCCAAGACCCTAAATGTTCGGGAGAGACTAATCGTGTACCTTCTTGATTTCAACATCCTGCCACGAGCTAGTGACACACACCTCATCCGACGGGTAGACCTCTACCTTTTGCACAAGATGGTCACCGGGCTCGGGCAGATTCAAGGCGTCCCCTTGGCCCCTCTTATCATGATGGACATGAAGAGCGTAGTCAAGACCAAAAGAGGTGACAAAAATTTCATTTACCCTCTTTTACTCACTATGATCTTCAGGAGCTTCGACGTTGACCTTGAAAATGAAGAGGTGGAGTACACGACCGGATCCCAAGTACTCAATGCAAACACTATGGTCGCTCTCCACTACAAAAAGGTGGGGAACACATGGATACGAAAGGAGGAAGGGGATGACGAGGAGCAAGAAGTTGGAGATGAAGAGATGGGTGAAGCTCAACCAGAACCGGCAGCCCGGCCACGGCGGACCATGACACAAAGCCTTGATTATCTAATCAACTCCATGGACCGGATGCACACAAGGATGGATGCCTACGAGACTCGGCAAGAAGAACTTTACAACCGTTTCGACACCTTTGAGACACGTCAAGCGCAAATGGCGGAGCAATTCCAGGGGATTGACCAAAGGTTTGGGGACTTCACCCAACACTACTATAACCAATACGGGTATCCCCCCCCCCCCCCCCCCCCGATCCACATCATTAAATACCCCTTTGTTGTTATTTTCTAACACTCCTCTCCTCTAAACACACTTAATCGTGGATATTATTGGAAGTGTTTGTTTATTATGAATCATACATTGGGACAATGTATCTTAAGTGTGGGGGGTGCATCTCATGGTGGTTAAACAAATTTTTTGTGCAAAATATTTTTGTTTTTAGGAAAGTAAAAATTATTATATCTCTCTTTTTAATAGGCATTCGGTTGAGAAAGTTTTTTTTTTATTATTACACACAAAACTATCATTTTTTTTTAGATTTATTACACTACTTTTTACTCTTGAAAATAACTCCCAAAAAAATAAACCTTGTGACTAGAAAACATCATCCTCTTTCACTTCCAAATATGGTCAAAAAAAATTCATCTCAAATATTCAAGAACCATTTTGGAGTAGAAAACATCCTCATTTCTCATCAAATAATTTGGGACTACCAAAATGACCTTCAGTAAATACTTGTTGAGAACCATTCCAAATGAGTTATAAAAAAAAAAGAGAATAGCTCATGGTCTCTTTCAAGAATCCCAATTGATCCATTTCTATACTGAAAAGTCAAAAACTCCCAAACGAAAACCGTTCTACACATCCAAAAAAAAAACAAAAAAAAAACCCAGTCACAATCCACTCACCAATTCAAGAGTATTAGTAATTTTTCTAAAATCTAATGATATTTTTTGTGTGTGTAATAGAAAAAAAAGGGTTTTGGACCGAGAATGATAAAAGAGTTATATACCTTTTTTTACCTCTCTTGAAATTGAAAATATTTTTGTGCATATATATTTGTCAAACTAACCAAGGGATCCAAGACTGAAGATTTGCTCGAGGACTAGAACCGCTCAAGTGTGGGGGAATTTGATAAGCACAATAATTACTTATGTTTTACATAGGTAATTATATTTATCCGCACAAAAATATAGAGCGAAAACAGGTAAATATTCCAAAGTGTTCAAAAATGTGGAATATGGCTAGGAGCAACAAAAACGGAGTCAAAAGTCAAAAGGGATCGAAAATCGGCACTTCTGGATAAATCGGAGGCACGAAGTTGAGAAGAAAAAGGAAGTAAACATTTTGGCCCAGTAACCGGCGCCAGACACACTCCAACCGGCGCCGGTTGGATTTTAATTTCTGAAAAAAATACACATGACCGGCGCCGGTCAGGCCAGAACCGGCGCCGGTTGGGTCGGATTCTGCTAAAAACACAACAACGTGCTAGACGATTTCTGATGGGAAAACTTCATCTTCCTCAATGCTAATCAAATATTGCTTCCATATCTGATTGTTGGGTTCGAATAGACTAAAAGATGCCATTCTTTAGCCTATATAAACCCCTCAATTCATCATGCAAATACATTCCATTCCATAGATTAATTCTAGTTTTTTTATATTTTGTTCTTGTATTTGTTCTTCAAGTTCTTTGGAGAAGAAGCTATTTCTCTCCTCTACAATTGGTTCTAGGTAATTTTTCTAGTATGTTATTTCATTTCCTTGTTCTTAGTTACAATTTTGTAATTAATATGAGCATTAGAGGCTAATTTCTTAGCTAAGGCTAGGGATGAACTTCTATGCCCACTACGTGTTTGATAAAAGTTCTAAACCAATAAATTGTGATTTGTCCTTTATATATTGATTGTTTATGACTATGGTGTACAACATAGAAGTATGTTAAATTTAGTTTATACTTGCAATTAACGTTGAAGTCTAAACTATGAACACTAAAGGATAAACATATATAGTACCGAGAATAGAAATATATCCGGTCTTATATGATACAGGTGTGATGTCTTGATATTCAACGGGGTTTTCGGTAGATGAATGTAAGTCGTAACGGGACTTACACGTAACGAAAACCACGCTCTCGCTGCCTTAACCGGAGTTGAGAATATATTAGCGACATCGTATTCATAATTATTGGCAAAGAACTAATATTCAACCATATTTAAGCATTTAAGTGATTCCCGAAGCCTTAGTTGTTGTTATCATTTATCTTAAACTCAAATTTAGTTAACGATTATCTTTTGAACAAAAAGTGAAAAGCCAAAAATATAAACCACAAATCAAAATCCTTACACTTTACTCATTTATTTTATTTAAAGTCACCTACTCTCGGACTAAATTAAACAACGTTTCCTTGTGGATTCGACCCGGTATTTTACCGGAATTTATTACTATATCGGCACTTGTACACTTGCAAGTTTAGCCCGATCACGTACTCTATCTGTTCCTGAGTGAATGGTAGCTGTTTAGATTCAACTCCTGCCTCTTGTTGAGTCTCAGTCACAGTAGTTTGTAGGGCCCTTTCTACTTTCTTCTTTCCAGCTCCTGGTGGTTTTCCATGAACTTTCCAGCATGTATCCCTTGTGTGCCACAGTTTCTTGCAGTGATCACACCAAGGTTTTTTCTTGTTGTCATCACTTCTGGCCACCAAAGCTGAAGATTCCCCAGGTTCCTCATTAGGTACTGGAGTGTTGTACATGACCCTCCTCCTGCTATCTTCCAACCTGATCTCAGAGAAGACCTCTCTGATTGAGGCCAAAGGTTTCTTCCCCAGTATTCTGCCTTTTACTTCATCTAGGTCTCTATTCATTCCTGCTAGGAACATATAGACTTTGTCATTTTCCTCTCTCTTCTTGTGTCTTGCCAGATCCTTGGCACTTTCCCAGTCTTCAGCATCATAGCATTGATCCAATTCTTGCCATAGAGATACCATCTCATTATAGTATGAGATGACATCTCTATTTCCTTGTTTGGACTGCCACAACCTAGTTTTTAATTCATAGATCTGAGAAGAATTCTCAAGATCTGAGTAGGTTTCTTTGATTGAATCCCATACCTCTTTTGCAGTTCTCATGAACATGTGAGGTTTGGCAATTGATTGATCCATTGAACTGAGAAGCCAGGCTGTTACCAAAGAGTTCTCTGACCTCCAGACATTGTAGCCATCTTCACCATTCTTCTTCTCCTCTACTTCACCCGTTATGTATCCCAGTTTTCCTCTTCCATCTATTGCCAGTTTGACAGACTGTGACCACTCTAGGTAGTTGGTTCCATTCAATCTATGTCCAGTAATGAGCATAGATGAATTAACCGAGACCTGGTAATTTGTCATTTGGCTAATTTGGGGGTTAGGATGATGGGTTTGTGAGTGGGTGGAGGAATCAGAGTGTTCAGTGTCCACCATTATGGTGTTTTAAACAACAAGGCTCTGATACCATGTAGGTTTGAAGAATTAATCTTCCTTGTATCTTATTGAGCCATCCGGAAATGATATATATACAAGTTTACAGATAAACTAAAGTTGTTACAGATCCTAAATATTAGGATCTATCTATTCTTATCTACTCTGCGAGCTAATATAAGAATTAGAGACCTAAATCAACTCTAATTCTTGTCTATACAGTTCCGGATGTACACATAATAAAATAACATGTACATGCTACATTTTTCTACATATATCATACTCAAACTACGCTTAGCAATAATCTACATTACAAGTCCATCTCTCGAGTAGAAGATTACCAATGTAGCAATGAACAAAGTATAGCTACATCATAAATAGTGCTACAGTGAACCCTGTCTAGTTTCGCGTGACTTAAAAGTGAGGATCACAATCTTAACACGGTGTGTTTGATTTGGTTCTTAGATCAGTTCTGATACATTTATGATTTTTAGCCTATTTTGGACATGTTCATACCGATTTTTGACACTGGTTGTGATCGGAAATTAAAGAATTGGTCTAGCTCGTTGGAAAAACA